CATTTGTATAACCCAGCATCCCCTTGGGTCCCTGCCCCTCTCACCACGTCTTCTACTAATGGATCCTGGCATAATCAGCCTCTCTTCCCTGAGTATCAATCGTCAGAGAGGCTTAGTTCCTGTGATCTTTGGGGGAAGGGGGATGCAAAGAGTTCAAACGCAGACTATGCCCTTCAGGAATTTAGATGACAGGGAGAACTGAGGTGTATCCATGCTAAGTCAAAGTGAAAACACAAGGAAGCTCACCCACACTTAGAATGCCTGAGAAGCCATGTAAAAAGCATGTCCACGTACGACCACGTGACTAGTTTGCAACATGGCACTGCAGACTTGAAACCTGCTAATTAGCTTCACTGTGATGACTATTTCACAGCGTACACATGAAATCGTCATGTTGTATATACATCTTAAATTTATATAATTTTTAGTTGTCAATTATACATCAGTAGAGCCGGGTGTGTGTGTGCGCGTGTGTGCCCATAAGCATAAATGGATACCCTATCAAGAAAACTGTGTAAAACTCAAAACTTCAAGGCAATACATAGGGAACCATTGATTATTCATTTAACAAAAGACATTTTTTTAAAAAACCCAGCTTCCTGAGTATACTGGAATTGTCACAGATTTTCTTTTAAGCTGGAGGGACCTTGGAGGTTATCTACTTTCAGACTCGCATTTTGTAAATGAAGAAATTAGGAACCATCTGTTTTCTTCACTCTTATTCCAGGACCCCGAGCCCTGTGAAAGAAAAATCACACAGCAGGGTGGGTGGGTGTCATTGCCAAGTTGAGGGCCCAACTTCAGTTCCTCAGTGCTACTGGAGGGATTCACAACCTTTTAATTTTCCTTTACTCACCTCCCTCCTAGTTCCCCTTCAAATGCTACCCAAATCCTTCTCGTGTTTCTTTCCTTTTCTACCCCTTTCCCCAAACTCACTCGAGACAGCTGACCTTGTCTTCATTCAGCAAATATTTAGGAAGTACCTACTACGTCCTAGATTCAGTTCCAGATGCTGTGGCTAGAGCCGCGCGTTAGGTCGAGGTTTTTGATCTTAAGAAGCTTCTATTCTTGTTGGATGCTCTTGCCAGACAACAACAGGCAGACACACACAAGTGAAGAAGTTGACAGTGACAAGTAATCAAGGAGAGTAAGGGGCGGCCGTCTCACATTGGGTCCTCTTAGAAGGCCTCCCGGAGGAGGGAACGTTTAACCTGAGCTCTGACTGCACGAAAGGTCCACTTCCTCACAGTTCAGGGGGAGAGCATTCTAGGCGGAGGGCTGAGGGCAAAGTAGCAAGAATTAGGTCTGGGAAAAAGAGGCAGGGGCCAGATCGTGTAACCCAAGGTATGAAGTCCAAATTTTATTCCAAGTGGGGCTGGAAGAAGCCCCTGGAATATTTTAAATGGGGTTGTGACAGATTTTGAGTCATACTTTTTTTTTTACAGATAGGTTTTATTTATTTATGTAAATTTATTTTGAGAGAGAGAGAGAGAGGCAAAGAGAGAGAACCCCGAGCAGGCTCTATACCGCCAGCACAGAGCCCAGGCGGGGCTCAAACCCACAAACCATGAGATCGTGACCTGAACCAAAATCAAGAGCTGGATTCTCAACTGACTGCGCCACCCAGGCACCCCTGATTAATACTTTGAAAGATGCGTTACTGCCGTGTGGCCGGTGGGTTGTAGAAAGGACAGAGAGGAAGCACAGAGGAGTTAGGGTGCTGCTCTAATCATCTACGCAAGAGACGGGGGCTTGGCCCAGGGACACGTCAGAAGGGATGGAGAAGAGATCCGTTAGGAACACATCCTCAGGTTGCATGAATAGGATTTGTGGACCGACTGAACGCTGGGAAGACGGAAGGCGAGGGGTCACGGGCAGCTGGGGGAAGAACGGGCTGTGAGGGAGCCGGAAATCAGGAACCCTGGCTTGAACTTACTCATGAGACATCCATCTGGAGACCCTGAGAGGCCGCTGACGTCCGAGTCTGGAGTAAAGGGGACAGTCAGGGCTCAGGTTGGACCTGATGGCCATGCGCATCTGCGCTGCTTCAGTGCCCTGGCAATGAGTGGCGATCCCACAGGAAGTGACTGCAGGGCTGGGAAACAGGCGTGGGGGAGGCGACCTTGGCTGGGTGCAGGGGTGGCTCATCCCACAGGAGGAAAGCAGCAGCTTGGGACGAGCTGGGGGTTTTGAAGGAGCGCGAGAAGTGGTTGGGAGAGATGCTGGGAAGCAAGGAGGGCCTGCCTCTCCTCACAGGGGCGCGAGGGGGTGTGGCTGCCATGCAGTCCCTCCCCCCCCCCCCCATCCTGACTCATCCGCATTCGCTTTCCTGATTTCACCTTGGATGAAGAGCCCTCCCTCCCTCTCCGGAGGCAAGGCTAATTCCTAGACCTTCGCCCATAGCCGCATCCCCACAACGTCCTGGGTGCCCTGCTCCATTATTCCTCGCATCTCTTAGATCTTCACCCCACCTTCCCAGAAGCCTAGAAACATGCTCCAGCCCCCCCCGCCCCCCGGGGCCCCGTCTTCTCCCTCTGGCCTTCCAGCCCCGTCTCTCTTTTCTCTTCATATCCAGATGCTTTCTGGAAAGGAAGAGGTCTTTCCTTTGTTTTCTCTGGTCTCACCTCCATTTCCTCCTTGACCCACTGAAAGTTGGTTTTACTCCCCAACATGCCCCACCGCTGCCCCTGTGAAGGGTGACGATGGCTTGAGGTGCCCAAGGCCATGCTGCTTTTCGGTCCTTCTCACACGTGCCCTGTCTGCATCGCTGACATGCTGGTCACTCCCTCCTGAACCCCCTCCTTCCTTGAACTCGTCAGTGTCACATTCTGGTCTTCGAGCCGAGCCTTTCTGCCTTCTCTTCCTTGAATCCCTCCCCCCGCCCCGAGTGGTGGTGTGTGACCTGAGTTTGTCCCCTGTGACCTGTCACTGCCCATTCTCCCTGGTTGGCTGACTCCATATTGAGGACTTCGATTATTATCTGTGTACCAGTGGTTCCTCAATTCCCTGCCTCGGGCCCTTCTTCCCAACTGGGCATCCCGTAGGCACCGCAAACTCAACCCCGGCAGGTCGCTCTCAACACTGTTTTCCCTCCGATTTTTCTCGGAGAATGGCACCACCATCCGTCTTCCTGGCCGAGTCTGAAACCTGACATGTGTCACACCATCCCCCTCCCCGCTGCCTTCTCAACCTGGCTCCCATTTCAGTTATTTGTACGGCGTTTGGTCTGTTCCCTTCTCTCCAGTCCCGCAGGCACAGCCTTTATTCAGGCCACTATCATTTTTTACCCAGGCGACTGCCACAACTTCCCATTTTAGGACTTGGTGACTATCTCGAGTCTGTCACCAGTATCAGATGGATGCTTTTCTAAGAACACACAGCTGATGACACCCTCCTTGGCTTGAAATCCTATGATGAAAAAAAACCCTCAACTCTCTGATGGACTTTGTTTCAAAAAGGTGGGGTGCACACACACTGAAATCTCTCCTTTTTGCTTCAATACACAGAAATGATGGAAAAGATAAAAATCATCAAGTATGTAGGCAGTCATTAGTCACTCCTGGAGAGAAGGGAGTGTTGTGTGACAGAAAACTATGATGACCGCTACAAAGCAGGAGTGCCCACTGGCACAGGTGTGGGGGGCGGGGATGCTGCAGCCCAAGAGGGCACCTCCCCCCCATCACAAAACCCCTGAAGAACAGCGACACCGTGAAAGAGAAACAGTACACAAATAAAAGACTGTGAGCCGGGGAAACACAGTTAACACAGTAGGAAGGGGACTTTAGAACAAGTACATTTAACATTGTCAGTATGGGAAAGGGTGGACTCACATCCAATAAACAAAAACAGTAAGTTATTTATAAAACTGTTATTAAAGGGGCGCCTTGGGGGCTCAGTCAAGTAAGCGTCTGATTTAGGCTCTGGTCGTGATCTCAGGGTCCGTGAGTTCGAGCCCCGCGATGGGCTCCCTGCTGATAGCACAGAGCCCACTTCAGATCCTCTGCCCTCCTCTCTCTCTCTGCTCCTCCCCTGCTTGCTCTCCCTCTGTCTCAAAAATAAAGAAACACTAAAAGTAAAAAGAAATGTTATTAAAAACAGAACCAATTTTTAAAAATCTCTGAAGTAAAAAAAAAAATGCAAGTTTAATATGAAAAAGTCAGTAGGCAAACTAAATACAAGATTGTGCAGGGCTAAAGAGGGAATTCCAGACCTAGGAGGCTTTGCTGAAGCATTCTCTCACACTGCAGCCTAAGAGAAGAGCAGAAGGGGACTCCAGTTCACGGAAATTAAGAGTCACAGAGGAAAGACACGGAAGTTCTACTGTTCCCTTAACAGGGTTGCCAGGAGGGAATGTGGAGGGGAAATTAGAGACCTAAGGACCAGAGAAAGTCCCGGAACATACCTTCTGCTACTGAAGCTTCCGGTCAGTCTAAGGAAGAATTAAAACAAAGAAAAAACTCTAGACATGTCGTAATTCAGATTAAAGCAAAACTCTGAAAGCTACCAAAGAAAAGCGAGCAGATCGCCTACAAAGGGAAGGGAATTGGACCGACGGCTATCAGGCACCCTGGCCCGTGAGGAGATAATGCAATGACATCACCAAGGGGATGAAGAAATCCTCTTTGATCTCAGAATTTTACTCTCGGTCAACCTCCCATCTGACAGAGCTACAATGGTCTATGACCCTACACACTGTCTGAAAGAATGAATGAACGATACGTTCCAAGCAGAGGAGACACTGGTCTTGGAAGACGTCATGGGCTGCAAGAGGCCAGTGCACACAAAGGAATTGGGAGAGGGATTTTGTACAATAAGCACTGACTCAGAACTGTTGTGAGGCTTACAAAATTTTTTTTAAGTGCTTATTCATTTTTTTGAGACACAAAGAGTGAGTGGGGAGGGGAAGGGAGACACACACATACACACACACAGAATCTGAAGCAGCTCCAGGCTCCAAGCTGTCAGCACAGAGCCCGATGCGGGGCTCGAACTCACGAACCATCAGACCATGACCTGAAGTCCGCGAAAGTCTATTGCTTAACCAACTGAGCCACCGAGGCGCCCCTGTCCTGAGGTTTTAGCAACAGAATCTAACAAGCAGGCCAGGGGCTTAGACAGGGAGAGGAGCCTACTCAGTGCCCAGGTTTCTAACCACTTCTCTGCAGACCCCGTTCCCCAGGGTCCCACGCGGGCCAGACGCACACGTGCCGAATGCCTGCTTGCTGCAAGATCGGGTGAAGGGGTGAGTGATGGTTGTGGCCAGAGTATCTGCGTTTTCAGAGGGAGGCCTAGCACCTCCCCGAGTCCGCTGAGGCCGCCCCAGCCATGAGCCGGGTCTGGGTGGCCAGGGAGGGGTTGCTGCCTGACTGTTCTAGACACAAGCTTGGATTGTGCTCCTTCCAAGGGCTTCTGGGAAAACTGCCTCTGCTGGCAGCTCTGCCCTTAGGCCCGAGGCCAAGAACCTCTGAACAAATACTGTGCTGCTTCGCAGGCCTAGGAGAGGAGTGCAGGCTTCCTGTCTGCGGGGTGCCTGCCGGGAGGCTCCTTCCCCAGGATGCAGGATCCAGATCCCGTCCGTCCGGATCCCGGACCCCGTCCAGAGCCCCTCCGGATTCGGTCGGGAGGAGACCACGCCTTTGTGCGGCCCTCGCTTCCAGCCTCCCGCAAAGAGAATGTAAGAGATGGGAAGTCTCCTCACCTCCTGTGGTTCTGACTCTCTGAGCCTGACGCTTCGTAAGGAAATAATCACCTGGGTCGTGGGGAGTCCACCCTGAAACGCCATCTATTTCGTGTGACCAGAAGCTTTTTGATCAAGGCACAAAATGAGCAGTGGCTCCCGCTCCCGGGCTGTCGGGGCGGGAGGGGCGAGGGCAGGGCAAACTCGACCCGCCGTTTCCCAGAAAGAGGCCTTTGTCATCATTCCGAAGAGTGCAGGACGTCCTGAATGCCTCCACGGGTTCTAAGGCAGCTGCGAGTTTCCAGGAGAGTTCAAATCCAAGGCAAGACAAATAGTGTGACCCGGCTTGCTCACCGGCAGTGTGGACGGGCCGCGGCATCTCCCCTTCCAGGCAAAGACTCTGTTTTTAATCTGTTTATGGAGGCCATTGCGACCCCATCTTGAAGGTCTTTCCGACTCTAAAACCGTGTGATTTGCCACGTTCTGGCTGCAGGGTCTTCCTAGCTTCCCGCGGCCGCCCTGTCCCTTTACTTGGGTTTAAGCACACGAGCGGTCCCAGGACACCCGCTCCCGTGACCATTCTGCGCCTGCATGGCTACTTGCCGAGTAGTGGGGACACACGCTCCGAAAAGGCCGTTGAGCGCTCCTGAAGCGAATCGCGGGGTGATTTTCAACCTTGGCTGAGTTCTCAGTACCAGCACCTCCTTTCTCGTCCCGCTGAGGCCTTCCTGCGCCTTCTTCCCTAAAGCCTAGTGTGCCGCCTCTTCCCTGCAGGCGCCCAGGCTGCCACTACGGAGACAAGGGAGGGAGCCACGCCGCGGGATCTCCCCTCACCTCTGCCCCCGCAAGTTGTCTGCATTTTCCTTCCCCATTCCAGCCTCAGAAGAAACAGCTTGTCTCCTCCTCTTCACTCCAGGGCCCCTCCTGCCTCAGAGCTGCGATATGTCCCCTCCTCTGCTGTGTCATCCCCCTCTGCGGTGTCACCCCCTCCTCTGCATGTCACCCCTCCTCTGTAGTGTCACCCCTCCTCTGCAGTGTCACGCCCCCTCTGCAGTGTCACCCCTCCTCTGCAGTGTCACCCCTATTCTGAGGGGTCACCCTCCTCTGCATGTCACCCCCCTCTGCGGTGTCACCCCCCCTCTGCGGTGTCACACCCCTCTGCGGTGTCACCCCTATTCTGAGGGGTCACCCTCCTCTGCGGTGTCACCCCCCTCTGCGGTGTCACCCCCTCCTCTGCGGTGTCACCCCCCCTCTGCGGTGTCACCCCCCCTCTGCGGTGTCACCCCCCCTCTGCGGTGTCACCCCCCCTCTGCGGTGTCACCCCCCCTCTGCGGTGTCACCCCCCCTCTGCGGTGTCACCCCCCCTCTGCGGTGTCACCCCCCTCTGCGGTGTCACCCCCCTCACCGGTGTCACCCCCTCCTCTGCATGTCACCCCTCCTCTGCAGGTGTCACCCCCCCTGCAGTGTCACCCCCCCTCTGCAGGTGTCACCCCCCTCTGCGGTGTCATCCCCTCCTCTGCGGTGTCACCCCCTCCTCTGCGGTGTCACCCCCCCCTACAGGGTCACCCCCTCCTCTGCAGGTGTCACCCCTTACTCCCTGCTTCCGTCATCTCATGTCAGGAACCTGCCTGAATTTCTCCCAGATCAAGTCCCCAACAACGTGTCCCGGGACCTGTGCCCTCCGCACGGCCGCCCCCCGCAGCCGCCCTTCAGAGACAGGAACCCGCCTCACGCGCCTCTCCCGGGGGCCTGGCTGCACGACCGAGGACCGAGGCCTTGCCTGCCTACGACCAGCAGCTGCCCCCAGCAGCTCGGCCTGGGGGCGCACTTCCGGCCTTGACCGGTGAGGCCGTTGCGCCGCGGCCCTGGAGCCCCTCAGGCCGACGCTGCGCCCCAGCCCCTTCCCCTCCCTGCGGCGCCCGGGTTCGGGCCCTGGTCCCGCGGTGCTCACGCCCCGGGCCCCCCCATCCCAGGTCTCCCTCCCGCGCCCCCCCAACCCGCCCGGGCGCACCCCAGTGTTGTCGCAAGCCCGATTCATCCTCTTTCTTTCAAAACCGGGTCTCCTTGGCCGGGTCCGGACCGGCTCTCCCCGCGCCCCGCCCCTTCCAGGCTCTTCACACCTGCCACTGCCCACCTGGGCCGCTAGCAGCTGCCCCCCGGCCTGTCTACAGCTGTTAACCCCCGTCCATTTTCTAGAAGCCACCGATCTTAGCAGTAAAGCGCCAGGCTGCCTTGCTTTTAAATCCGTCGCGTCGGCACCGGGGCAGCGATTCCTAATTCCTTAGCTGGAATATGGATCCTCCGTGTGGCCCCTCTTTACTTTTAAGCGCGTCCCACAACACCGCCCCCCAGCAGCCAGTGCGGCCCCCAACTGCGGGTTCCCTGAGAACTGCCATGCTTCTTGTCTAGACTGGGCCCCTAGTTTTCCAGGCCCAGTGTAGACTCAACATGCAGGCCTCTTGCTAAAGCATCATTAAGGAGGTGACGGCAGTGACAGACAACCTTTAAACCGAGCGCAAGACCCTTCTGAGCGTGGCACTCTGGGGGTTGGCGCGGGCCACGTGTCCGTGAAGCCACTTTGTTTCTTCCCCGTGTTTGCGTTTCTTGCTAGACCGCTTGCTCTACCTGAGATGTTTGTCCGCAAACTTCTGGTTATGCTTTTAGACAAGCAATGGTGGTTCTTAACCTCTTGAGATCATCAGGAAGCCTTTTTTTTTTTTTAATTTTTTAAAAAATGTTTTATTTATTCCTAAGAGAGAGAGAGAGGGTGAGCAGGGGAGGATCAGAGAGAGAGAGGGAGTCACAGACTGAAACAGGCTCCAGGCTCCGAGCTGGCAGTCAGCACAGAGCCCCACGCGGGGCCGAACCCACGAACCGCGAGATCATGACCTAAGCGAAAGTCGGACGCTTAACCGACTAAGCCACCCAGGCGCCCTGGAAGCCTTTTAAAACTATGGTGAACACTGTGGACCTCGTCCTTCTAATGTGGAGTTTGGAACACAATTTTAGAGGCTTCATACACTCTCGCAGCCTTCTAACCTGAACTCCACGGAAGCCCATGCACTTGAGATTAAAAATCTTATTTGAGAGGAGCCTGGGTGGCTCAGTCGGTTGAGCATTCAACTCTTTTTTTTTTTTTTTTAATGTTTTATTTATTTCTAGGAGAGAGAGAGAGACAGCGTGAGCAGGGGAGGGTCAGAGAGAGAGGGAGTCACAGACTGAAACAGGCTCCAGGCTCAGAGCTGGCAGTCAGCACAGAGCCCAACGCGGGGCCGAACCCACGAAACCGTGGGATCATGACCTAAGCGAAAGTCGGACGCTTAACCGACTAAGCCACCCAGGCGCCCTGGAAGCCTTTTAAAACTATGGTGAACACTGTGGACCTCGTCCTTCTAATGTGGAGTTTGGAACACAATTTTAGAGGCTTCATACACTCTCGCAGCCTTCTAACCTGAACTCCACGGAAGCCCATGCACTTGAGATTAAAAATCTTATTTGAGAGGAGCCTGGGTGGCTCAGTCGGTTGAGCATTCAACTCTTTTTTTTTTTTTTTTAATGTTTTATTTATTTCTAGGAGAGAGAGAGAGACAGCGTGAGCAGGGGAGGGTCAGAGAGAGAGGGAGTCACAGACTGAAACAGGCTCCAGGCTCCGAGCTGGCAGTCAGCACAGAGCCCAACGCGGGGCCGAACCCACGAACCGTGGGATCATGACCTAAGCGAAAGTCGGACACTTAACCGACTAAGCCACCCAGGCACCCCGAGCACTCAACTCTTGATCTCAGCTCAGGTCATGATCTTATGGTTTGTGAGTTCGAGCCCCACATCAGGCTCTATGTTGACAGCTCAGAGCCTGGAGCCCCCTTCAGATTCTGTGTCTCCCTCTCTCTCTACCACTCCCCTGCTCATGCTCTGTCTCTCTCTGTGTCTCATAAATAAAACACTGGGAAGAAAAGAGCTCACTGTGACTTGGACAGTTAGGTATTTCATTACCACTTTCACAGATGAGGAACCTGAAAGTTCAAAGAGCTTAACTACTGAGCTTAAACGAAGGGGGGGGGGGGTAAACCTGGTTTCTGGTCTGTATCACTGACCCTCTGCTGTTCCCCTTTACGGGCTGGCCTGGGACAGGACACAGATGGTACGCAGTGCTCCCGGGCGGCTGGGCCTCGCCCGCAGGCGGGTCTCACTGTGTAAGTGCTCGGCCCCCCACAGCTTCTGTTTGCAGGTCCATCGCTCTGGACGTCTAGCGTCCCCAGTGACAACCTGGGAGAGCCAGCACATCACTCCACACAAAAAGGCCACGTCCCTGTCTCTGAATGGACATGCGACCTCCCTGCCCCCCCCACCCCCCGCCGAATATCTGTGAAACCAACACTTTTATCCTTCTGCCCCAGGTTTGGAAACCAGGAGCCCCTGGTGAGTTTTCTCGCCAGCACGGATGGCACACGGGCCCTCCTCGGGGGCGGGGGGCGGGGGCTGGGCCCAGCTTTGGGACCCTGCTCTTCAGGGGCTGCTGGGCCTGCTGTTTCCCTGTCTTCCAGGACAGACCTGCAGGGGCTGGAGGACTGAGCCATTGGTACTGGAAGGTTCCATGCCTACCCCGAGGAAGCCGTGTTAGCAGTAAGCAGGGCCGGGCCAGCCTGCGCGTGCCTCTCTCTGATCGGGAGCTGGTAGGAAAACGTAGACTGGAGGTGGGCGCACCTGAGGAACGCTTACTATTGTTAGCGATATCAGGAGACTGTGCTAAGGTCTCCTCTAATCTCACAAACGGCAGACCAGCAGGAACGAAGAGCTCGGCTTATCTGAGCGTGTGCGGCGTTCCAGGGACCACCCGGGCTCTGAGCTGCTTCCTGCTGCTCTCGCCGTGAGCCCCGGGGAGGTTCGGGCTTTTAGCTGTATTTATGAATGGGGAAGCCAAAGCACTAGGCTAAGTAAGCTATTCAAGCTCACGTGATATTAGCAAGGGGACCCGCCTGGATTTGACCGAGGCTGTATTTGGTTTCAAAACCTGTCCTCCTCATTACAAGCTCAGTCACCTTCACTCACGCGTGGGCTCTGGGTCACACCTCCTGCCACGGATGTTGCGTCTTCTCGCACCTAATCATCCCACAGCCTGCGGTAGGTGACGCCTTCCCAAGATACTGCTTCACCCTCTTCGCCACCTACTCAAAACACTCCTGGTTGCCTGTAGGAGAAGGATGACGTTCAAACTCCCTCTGATACTTGCAATTTGCTGTCCCTTATGTCCTTATTTTTACCCAGAACATCCCTTCTTCTGGTCTTACAACCCGCAGATGAGGAACAGGAGACTATGGAGCGGAAAGAAGGAGTGGGGGCTGCAAACTCTGCGGGCACCGATATAAAACCTGTGACTACTGGGGCGCCTGGGTGGCTTACTCGGTTGAGCGTCCGACTTTCGCTTAGGTCATGATCTCGCGGTTCGTGGGTTCGAGCCCCACGTGGGGCTCTGTGCGGACTGCCAGCTCAGAGCCTGGAGCCTGTTTCAGTCTGTGACTCCCTCTCTCTCTGACCCTCCCTCCCGTGCTCACGCTGTCTCACTCTCTCCCTCTCCTAGAAATAAATAAAAATATAAAAAAAAAACAAAAACAAAAAACCTGTGACTACTGATACCTTCATTCATGTCAAATGTTAAAGAAAGCATTTTGTTTATAGGAGGCATTTTTAAATAAAGAGGATATCATGACAGGAGACAAAAATATACACTGGGGGAAAAGACAGTTTCTTCAACAAATGGTATTGGGAAAACGAGACACCTACATGCAAAAGACTGGAATTGGACCGTTTTCTTACACCACACACAAAAATCAACTCAAAATGGATTAAAGACCTAAATGTGAGATCTGGAAGCATAAAACTCCTAGGAGAAAACACAGGCAGTAATCTCTTTGAAATCAGCCTCAGCCACATTCTTCTGGATATGTCTCCTAAGGAAAATAAAAGCGAAAACAAACTATTGCGACTACACCGAAATAAAAAAACTTCAGCACAGCAAAGGAAATCAACAAAATGAAAAGACAGTGTACTGAATGTGGGAAGATATTTGCAAATAATATACCTGATAAGTTTTTTTAATGTTTATTTATTTTTGAGAGAGACAGAGACAGAGAGACAGAGTGTGAGCAGGAGAGGGGCAGAGAGAGAGGAAGACACAGAATCTGAAGCAGGCTCCAGGCTCCGAGCTGTCAGCACAGAGCCCAACGCGGGGCTCAATCCCATGAACCGGGATCGTGACCTGAGCTGAAGTCAGACGCTCAACTGACTGAACCACCCAAGAGCCCCAATAAGTTTTAATATCCAAAATATATAAAGAACTTACAAAACTCAGCACCAAAAACCCCACAAATAATCCAATTAAAAAACGGTCAGAGAATAGACATTGTTCCAAAGACACCCGGATGGCCAAGAGACACATAAAAAGAAGACATACCTCATCATCAGAGAAATGCAAATCACCTCACACCTGTCAGAATGGCTAAGATAAAAAATGCAAGAAAGAACAGGTGCTGGCCAGGGGGTGGAAAGGGCCACTGCTGGTGGAAATGTAAATCGGAGCAGCCACTGTAGAAAGCAGTGTATTACCCAAAGAAGACAAAAATACTAGTTAACGAAGATGCACATACCCCTATGTTTATTGCAGCATTATTTACAATAGCTAAGATATGGAAGCGACCTACATGTCCAACGATAGATGAATGGATGAAGAAGACGGACAATAAAATATTACCGAGACATAAAAAAGAATGAGATCTTGTTATTTGCAACAACACGAGTACCCCAGAGGATATTATGCAAGTGAAATTAAGTCAGAGAAAGACAAACACCACAGGATCTCACTCATGCATGGAATCTAAAAAATAAAGCAGATGCACAAACAAACAAAAGCAAAAATAGACCCATAGATACAGAGAAGAAACTGGTGGTTGCTAGAAGGGAGAGCATGGAAGGGTGGGCCAAAGGGGTGATGGGGAGTGGGAGGTACAGGCTTCCAGTTTTGGAATGAATGAGTCATGGGGATGGAAGGTACAACACGGAGTACTGTCAGTGGTAGCGGAATCGTGACGTGTGGTACAAGATGGGGGCTGCACGTGTGGACACGTGTGGAGAGCGTGGCCTAAGCCTTTGTGGATTCACTATGTTGCACACCTGCAACTAACGTAACATTGTGTTCACTACTCCAACTATTCTTCAATAAAAAAAATAAATGTAAAATGGGGGCACCTGGGAGGCTTAGTCGGTTGAGCTTCTGACTTTGGGTCAGGTCATGATCTCACGGTTCATGAGTTCGAGCCCCATTGTTTCGGAACCCCTGCTCACGTTATCTCAAAAGACAAAAAAAAAAAAAAAGTAATAAAGTAAAATATAAAAGGAAAACTAAAGAAAAGAGAGACAGAGGGAGAGACAGACTATCAGTGACATTTTCCACGTCATCAATTACTAACAGAGGCTAATGTACAATTAAATTCTCTTCCCCATCTGTTGCTTGCTGGAAACTCTGGTGTCTCTGTCCAAGGAAACTGTAGTGAAGGGCTTCTAGAAAAACGAGTTTCCTCCTCAGAGACATGGATACTAAAATCTTTCCTGTTGGATTCTCCATCCAATTGTTCAGTGCTGCTCTGAAGGTACATTTGTCAGGAGAGCCTCACCGTGCGAGTATGTTTGCCTTAAGTCTCCTTCCTGCTGAGCAAAGGTACGAGGAAGGAAGTTTTGCATTTGTTGTGTTATGGCTCCACCAGTTTTCTCTGCTAGGAAACGCTCTTCCCAATAATCTATTGATTGGCTGGTGGTTACAAAAAGTCGTTTTTATGAAGCTACAGAAAAATTCTGTTGAGAATAAATGCCCGGGCAAATCTTACGGTGTTTTCTTGGTGTAGGGGTGTGGGTGGGGGTGAGAGCATTAGTTTTTGCATTAAAAACATTTTTTTTTAAGTTTATTTAGTTGGGGAGGAGGGGCAGAGAGAGAGGGAGACACAGAATCAGAAACAGGCTTCAGGCTCTGAGCTGTCAGCGCAGAGCCTGATGTGGGGCTTGAACCCATGAGCTGTGAGATCATGACCTGAGCTGAAGTCAGACTCTCAACCGACTGAGCCACCCAGGTGCCCCTAGTTTTTGCATTTTTAAATTTTGCCTTAGTGTAGAGTGACATGAACACCATGATTCCCCCTGACGGGATGCACCCGGACACACCGCCTGGAGCCCTGGCTGTGACAGTCCCCGCCCGGCCAGCGCTCCCGAGGACCGCAGCCTGCTAGTTCCCTGCCGTCGCGGGGCGCCCCCTGCTTCAAGGGAAGAGGCCAGTCTGAGGTTTCTCCTGACTCCAAGGCTCTGCGATGCTGGCCCTTGCCGGCCACTGTGGGCAAAGTGGACATGGCCAGGCCACTCCCTTATCGTTTAGGCCTCCGTTTCCTCACCCGTGAGCTGAGGGTCAGGGCTGGTTATGTCAGGCTTTCTTGGATCTAAAAGCACAGGGCCATGGAAGAGCACTGGGAGGCTGACACCAGCCACTTCTGGATGTGAAGACGTCTCCTTTGTCCCTCAGGTATTCTTGCTTCCGGTGTCGTCCAGACTGCCCATCACCTGCGCAGTGGATGAGAGCCACGGGGCGCTCTGTTCCAACGGGAATGACGGGGACCAGTGGGGTGTTCTACCCAGAGACAGCCATGCTCAGAGTCCCTCAGTCGGGGCTTCGTCCCCTCTCTGCAAACATGGAGAGCGGTGGGTTTTGCCACATTCGCAGAATGAAGTGCGAACAGGTCCTCCCTCGCTCCTCTGATTGCCCAGAGCGGCTCTCACTATGCAGAAAGCTGGTCTCTCGGGCTTCCAGAAGTCTGTGCGATGCTGAACGGGGGTCTAGGCTTCCAACCCTTGCTAACTAGCTTTGGGACCTGGGGCTAGCCCACCTCTGGGCCTCATTCCCCCCATCTGTAAAAAAAAAAAAAAAAAAGAAAGCAAGAAGAAAAACAGAGGGTCACAGTATCAGAGGATCTAAAATTCAGTGGTTACATGATTAACCTGTGGCCAAACAGAAAACCAGTCTAAGAGACTTCCTCACTGGCCTCAGCCAAGAGCCATCCTCGGACCAGGCCCACCTCTGCCCCGGAGGGTTCAAGTCCAGGCACTCTGACTAGGGGACGGCGGGAGCACCAGGCTGCCCTGAGCAAGTCTATCTCGTTCCAGACGATACAGAGAGTAAATCCTGCCTGAGTGCCCGCAGGCCCCCAGGCCCAGGGCAAGCCCCCTTCTGCAGCCACAGAGAACCCCATAAATGTTTAATTCCTCACGATCACCTGAAACAGGCCCCCAGTGTCCCCTGCACCACGGCACTCTGGCAGGAAGAGGGGAAAAAAGCACTTACTTTCAGCTGCAATTTACTCAGCAGAGTGATTAATCAATTATTCCATCCACCGAGCTATTCAAAAGCATTTCAGAGTGTTTACCGCGTGCCTCCTCGCACCTGGGGAGAAGCCAGAGGGGAGGCAGGAAGGCCTGTGGGGGGGGGGGTGTGTGCCGGGGGAGCATGGACCAGACGCATCTGCAAGTGGCCTGGTGCCCGCCTCAGCTCGGAGGAGTCGTCTGGGGGTCCTGCCTCGCGTGCCCACAAACACCCCCTAACTTAACGGCCCTTAAGTCTCTGTCCCCACCCCTCGACAATGAAGAGGTTGCTCTGCCCATCTTCAGACCCACCTCAATTCCTTCCATCGTCAATCATGGGGCAATCAGTTCATTTTTCTTGTGTGAATTCTCTACACACAGTGTCATTTTAATTAGAAAACGTTTTTTAACATTTATTTTTGAGAGAGAGAGAGAGACAGAGCGTGAGTGGGGAAGGGGCTGAACTGTCAGCACAGAGCCTGACGCCGGGCTTGAACTCATGAACCGCGAGATCATGAGTTGTAAGATCGCGAACTGAGTCGAAGTTGGATGCTTAACCTGCTGAGCCACCCAGGCGCTCCCAGGATGTCACTTTAAAGTGAAAACCCGCCTAAGCCTTTCCTTGCTTGAAGCTCTTCGGGTTTCCCCTGCCCTTAGGGAAAAAGCTTCACAAGCACAGAAGGCCCCCACGAGTGGGCCTTCCCTTCTGGAGTCAGAGCCCTGCTAGCCGTTCTCTGGAACTGAGAGGCTGTTTCGGTGCCTGACCCCGCTGCCCCTTGCCAACGGACTGAACCAGCCATCGCCCCGAGCAGGGCCTTCCCTCCCTAGGATGCCTGGACCTTCAGAGAGCTTGTCTGACCTCCTGCCTCGTTACCCATCCACGGTCTCACACGTCTTTGCCGATTTCTGTGTCTTCTCCAGTCGCTGAAAGCCCAGGGAGTGCTTCTTGCTTGTAAGTCTGGTGCCTGGCGCAGGGTCTGAAAGCAAGCAAGCCCTCAGGCGTGTTGGCTGACCGCCCACACTGGGGATGTGTCAATTACACGTGGTTATGTTGGCTTTTGGTTTGGAGAAGACAAGGCAGAGTCCACGCTTCTGTATCGAGGAGGTGCGCCGAGAAACAGATTTTAGAATAGCCCAGGCCCGATGGGCCTTGCATCTCACAGGGCTTTACTGTGTCCGGGGCAGAGGGTTCCAGGTTGCCTTTTCAAGGGCCTGCAACTCTCTCTCTCTCTCAAAAAAAAAAAAAAAAAAAAAAAAAAAAGTAATATTACTGTATGTCCAGGCCAGGGTTTTCTCAGGGGTTGGAGCTGTAAAACCCATCTCAGTCCTTCTGGTGGTTCTTGTTCTCCGGGTCAAGATCGAGCTGGAGACGGGCTTTCCGCTGATGGCCGCCCCACAGGCTGCGAATAGTAAACAAAAGAATGAATGCACGTGGGGCATTTAGCACGCAGCGAGCGCTGAGGAAATGTGACCTTTTTCCTGCTGCCATTGTTCATCCACCGTGCTAGCAATTTTGCCGTGACTCTTCTCCAGGACACTGCTGCCCTGGACTTGGGCGTTTGCAGTTTTACGGGACGGGCCCCTGGTCATCACCGGGGTATGAAACCTGCCTGCTGTGGGAGCCGGCCTGCCTGATCCCCAGAGCTCTCCGTTCCTGGCAGGATCCCTGTCCCAGTGGCTTCTTGAAGCACCTGTAAGTGCTGGGAAGCAGCGCCTTGAACTTGGGCTGGCAGCTAGTAAGAGGAGAGTGTTTCTTTCACAGTCTAATCCCATTCTTTCTGGTGATGCCATTTTTCAGTCTTTAAGTAACAGTACTTTCTCGCTTCATTTTTACTGCCTTTGGACGTTGAATTTTTTTCCCTACGGATTTCTTTAAAATCTCAACTTAGACACTTGGATATGTGTTTTGCGTGTTCTCTTGTTCACGAATGTTACAGACAAATGGAAGAGTGGTTAGGCTGCTCTTTCCCTGACTTCCCAAATCCTGCACGGATGGGAGAGGGAAGAAACATAACTTTGGGGGCAGATTGTGTGGTTATATCATTTCCCATCTTTTTTTTTTTTTAAACTTTTAAAACAATTTTATTCATTGTTGAGAGAGAGAGAGAGAGAGACATGGAGACACAGCACGAGTGGGGGAGGGGCAGTGGGAAGGAGACAGAATCTGAAGCAGGCTCCAGGCTTTGAGCTGTCAGCACAGAGCTCGACTTAGGGTTTGAACTCGTGAACCAGGAGATCATGACCTGCGCCGAAGTCGGACGCTTAACTGACTGAGCCACCCAGGTGCAGCCCACCCCCATCTTTTTGTTAGAGGGAAGCATGGTTAAAATGTGCCTGAGAGGGAACATAATTTAAACAGAGCAGTTCAGCCTAACAGGGAAATGTGGAAAGGAAGGAGGGTTAGTACTACCCTTTTATCTTGGTGACAGTGCAAATATTATGGGCTGATTTTGTATCAAAGAGGCTCAAGTTTAAGAAACAAAAATCCAGCTGAGCTCACTCTTCCGCTTCGCCAACTGGTAGCATTAGCCATGGCCAAACTTCCAAAGGCATGGGAAGGAAGTAAAATGTCCCAAGCTTGGGACCTGGGCCTCACCCCGACTTCCCACCCGGGCCCTTCCCTTCAACAATCTCCATTTGGACAACGGCAGTGACTGCCTTGGAGAACTCTCTGAAATTAAATTATCTTCTTGGCTAAAAAACTGTTCTCTTCTATCAGGGAAGATCTTTCTCTTTGGATGAATACTTATGAGAGTTACTGCCCCAGCAGCTAGAGCAGCTAAATATACCCAGTGGAATAAGGTGGGAGTGGAATTTGCACTCAGACCATTCCTACATAGAAGGCAAAGAACTCAAGCTGTCCTGGATGATGGCTCCAAGAATACTTCATGCTTTGGGGGTGGGGAGGGGGGAGGAGCGCGACAGCATGAATTTAGTCTCAAAGATAAGGAAATGGACATGGCGTTGGGATCTGGGGACAAGGCTATGAATTTAATTCTGGTGAAAATTCCAAAGCCAGCTTCCCAAAGTGTCATGGGTTGGAATGGCAACCTAAATTGCACAAAAAAGCAACAAAGCATTTCAAGGGTAGGTTTTATTTACAAATAGCGTTATTAAGGTATAATCGACTTACAAGAAACTGCACGTACAAAAGGGTACAATTTGATAACTTTTGAAATATACATACATGAAACTGCCAACAGGGTGAAGATAATGAGCATATCCATCGCCCCGAAAGTATTTCCATGTTCTTCTATAACCATCCGTCCTGCCTCTCCACACCCCTTACTCCATAACACATTCTAAGTCATGTCCCAAGGTAACAACTTGCTCCATTACTATAGATTTGTATTTTTTAGAAACTTCTATAAATGTAATCATACAGAATGGATTCTCTAACATTTGGCTTCTTTCACTTAACATAGTTATTCTGAGATTCATCCATGCTACTGCCTGGATTTCCTTGTACAAATGTACTAGTTTAAATCCATCCCTGTTGAAGGACATTTAGGTTATTTCTAAATTTTTGCCATTTTGAAGAGAGTGGCTATGACTTCTGGAGTACAAGTCTTCGTATGGGTGTATGCTTTCATTTCTCTCGGGTCAACGGGTAAGAGTGGAGTGGATGGCAGAGTCAACATGTGTTTAACTTTTTAAAAAGCCACCCACATAGATTTCCAATGTGGTGGTGCCATTTCACCTTCCACGCAACGTATGAGAGCTCCAGTCCCTCCATATCCTCACCAGTACTTGGTATGGTCAGTTTGAAAATGTAAGGCGTTCTATCAGTGTGCAGTGGTATCTCATTGTGCCTTTACTTGGCACTTCCCTAATGGCCAATGATTTGTCTTTTCATGCACTTATCTACCATCCGTATATTGGTGCAGTATATGTTCATACTTTTGCTTTTTTTTTTTTTAAGTTTATTTATTTCTTGAGAGAGAAAGACAGAATCCCAAGTAGGTTCCACATTGTCAGTACAGAGACCAATGTGTGGTGTGAGATCACGAACTAAGCAGAACTCAAGAGTCAGATGTTCAACTGACTGAACCACCCAGGTGCCCCTCCTTTTTTTAAAAAATTGGGTAATTTACTTTCTTATTATTAAGCCTTAAGAGTTTAAAATACACACACACACACACACACACACAATTTTCTGGATATAAGTCCATTTTCAGATGCATGACTTACAAATATTTTCTCCCAGTCTGTGTTTGCCTTTTCATTCTCTTCCTATGTCTTTTAAAGGGCAGCAGTTCACCATTTTGATGAAGTCCAACCTATAAATTTTTCTTCATTTATGGATTGTATCTTGCTTTTCTATGAAAGAAATCTTTAAGTCAAGGTCAACAGATTCTCTCCTATGTTTTCTTTTAGAAGTTTTACAGTTCCTGTATTACTTCTAGAGTTAATTTTTGTATGGTGTGAGGTAAGGATCTAAATCACTGTTTTTGCATGTGGATACCCGAACCTTCTAGCACCATTTGTTGAAGAGGCTACCCTTGCTCTAAATTGCCTTTGCATATTTGTTGAAAATCAATGAATGTCATTAATGTCTCTCTCTATATATATGGCTCTATTTCTGGACTTTCATTCTGTTCTATTGATTTGTTTGTCTCTTTTTATGACAACACAAAACTACCTTGGTCATTGTAGCTTTATAATAAGTGTTGAAGTCAGGCAATGCCATTCCTCAAACTTCTTGAAAGTTGTTTAGGCTGTTCTAGGTCCTTTGCATTTCCATATGAATTTTAAACTTTTTTTTTTTAATGTTTTTTTTTTTTTTTTTTATTTCTGAGAGATAGAGAGAGACAGCATGAGCAGGGGAGGGTCAGAGAGAGAGGGAGACACAGCATCCGAAACAGGGTCAAGGCTCTGAGCTGTCAGCACAGAGCCCGACGCGGGGCTCGAACCCACGAACTGTGAGATCATGACCTGAGCCGAAGTCGGACGCTTAACCGACTGAGCCACCCAGGTGCCCCTCCATGAATTTTAAAAGGAACTTGTCAATCTCTATGGAAAAGCCTGCTGCGATTTTGATTGGGATTGTGTTGACTTTAACAATATTAAATCTTCCAATTGATAAATATATTTCTTCATTTTTTAGTTCTTTTTTCTTTTAAGATTTTATTTTTTTAAGTAATATCTATACCCAACATGGACCTCAGACTCAGGACCCTAAGATCAAGAATCCTTCATTTTTTGACAGTAAACCATCAAAACCCTAGAGGAGAAAGCAGGAAATAACCTCCTTGACCTCCACTGCAGCAATTTCTTACTTGACACATCCCCAAAAGCAAGGGAATCAAGAGCAAAAATAAACTTTGGGACCTCATCAAGATTAAAAGCTTCTGCGCAGCAAAGGAAACAATCCATAAAACTAATAGGCAACCGACGGAATGGGAAAAGATAGGTTCAAATGACATATCAGATAAAGGGTTAATATCCAAAATCTATAAGGAACTCACCAAACTCCACACCCAAAAAACAAATAATCCAGTGAAGAAATGGGCAAAAGACATGAACAGACACTTCTCCAAAGAGGACATCCAGATGGCCAACAGACACATGAAACAATGCTCAGCATCCCTCCTCATCAGGGAAATACAAATCAAAACCACACTGAGATACCACCTCACACCAGTCAGAGTGGCTAAAATGAGCAAATCAGAGGACTCTAGATGCTGGCGAGGATGTAGAGAAACGGGCACCCTCCTACACTGTTGGTGGGAATGTAAACTGGTGCAGCCCTTCTGGAAAACAGTGTGGAGGTTCCTCAAAAAATTAACAATAGAACTCCCCTATGACCCAGCAATAGCACTGTTAGGAATTTACCCAAGGGATATAGGAGTGCTGATGCCTAGGGGCACATGTATACCCCAATGTTCAGAGCAGCGCTCTCAACAATAGCTAAAACATGGAAAGAGCCTAAGTGTCCATCAACAGACGAATGGATCAAGAAGATGTGGTTTATCTATACCATGGAATACTACACGGCAATGAGAAAGAATGAAATCTGGCCATGTGTAGCAACATGGATGGACCTTGAGGGTGTTATGCTGAGCAAAATAAGTCAGGCAGAAAAGGACACATATCACATGTTTGCACGTATAGGAGGATTAGGAGGAATTTAACAGAGGACCGTGGGGGAGAAGAAGGGGGGAAATAGTGGGGGAGAGGGAGGGCGGCAAACCATGAGAGGCTCTTGAATGCTGAGAATACACTGAGGACTGATGGGTGTGGTGGGGAGGGGAGAGATGGGCATGGAGGAGGGCACGTGAGGGGATGAGCACTGGGTGTTATATGGAAACCAAATTGACAATAAACTATTTGTAAAAAAAAAAAAACAAAAAAAACAAATAAACATTTAAAAAAAGAATCCCTCATTTTTTTTTACATGTTCTTTGATTTCTCTCAGCAATGTTTCATTATTAAGTGTGCAGTCCCTACATATCTTTCAGATATATCTCTAAATGTTCCATCTGTTTTGATGCTTTTGTAAATATCACTTTTCACATTTCAAATTCCAATTGTTTACTGATAGAAGATAAAAATATAATTGATTTTCATATACTGATATTATATCCTACAACCTTATTAAATCCTTATTAGTTCTATTAGCGTTTTTGTAGATTCCATCAAATCTTCTACAGAGATGATCAAGTCATCTATAAATAAAGACAGTCTTAATTTACCTTTCCTTTACCACTTCCTTTCTTTTATTCATTTGTACTTTGGGCCTTGGCTGGAACATCTAGTACACTGTTGAATGGAAGTGACGAGAATAGGGGCACCCGGGTGGTTCAGTCGGTTGAGCATCCCAACTCTTGATTTTGGCTCAGGTCATGATCCCAGGGTCGTGGGATCAAGCCCTGCATGTGTCGGGCACCATGCTGAGTGTGGAGCCTGCTTAAGATTCTCTCTCTCTTCATATTTCCCTCTCCCCCACTCACACTCTCTCTCAAAGAAAAAAAAAGTGACAAGGGTAGACATCTTTGCCTTCTTCCTGATCTTAGAGAGATGGAAAGTGTTCCATCTCTCACCATAAAATTGTATGTTTTCCATAGAAGTCTTTTTTCAGGTTAGAGAAGTATCCTTCTACTACTTTGCTGAGAGTTTTGATTAGGAATGGATGATGAATTCTGTCAACTGCCTTTTCTGTGTCTATTGAGATATTTTTTCTTGAGTCTGTTAATATGGTAAATTATATTGATCAATTCTTGAATATTAAACCAAGCTTGTATTCATGGGATAAACCCCACTTGGTAACGATGCATTATCTTTCTTTATATATTGGTACATTTGATTAGTTCATATCTTTGCATCTATGTTCGTGAGGAATACTGGTCAATAGTTTTTCTTCTTTTTTTAAAAATTTTTAAATGTTTTTATTCATTTTTGAGAGAGAGACAGAGCATGAGTGGGGGAAGAGAACAGAGAGAGGGAGACACAGAATCTGAAGCAGGCTCAAGGCTCTGAGCTATCAGCACAGGGCCCAATGTGGGGCTCAAACTCGTGGATCATGAGATAATGACCTGAGCAGACATTGGATGCTTAAGCAACTGAGCCACCCAGGCACCCCCAATAGTTTTTCTTCTGTAATGTCTTTGATTTTGGGGTAAGAGTAATGATGGTCTCATGGAATGAATTGGGAAGTGTTCCTTTTTGGTTTTATAGAAGAATTTGTGTAGAATTACTCTTACTTATTCCTCAGTATTTGGCAGTATTCAAGTGTGAATTCGTACAAGTGTAGGGAAAAAGTTATGAAAGACTCAAAAGATTGCTAGGTGTATCCTGGGGAGGTCATGCTTCTAGGTTATCTCTGCCTTTGTCTTTGAGCTGCCTACAACTCTGTAAACTGTAGAACGCTGATAATAATGCAAAAAATTCTTGTCCATAAAAATGCAAGTTAATTGTACCTGGTGGAATACAATTTATTATTGCCCTGAAAACAGACCTATTTTGCGTGTACTGTAAAATCATTTCACATCACTGCCTATTCTTTGAATTCTCTTTTGAACCAGCTGTAACATCTAATGGTTCCCTCATTAGTTGATGAATTAAATAAAATCTTTGACATGTGTTCATTTTATACTTGCACAAGAAGAACATTTTATCTTTAATGTTATCTTTTATGCCAGGAATGATGAGAATTCATGGTACAGACTTTGTTCAATCCAAGTATTACCAGATTGGTTACTTGCTAAAATGATGGTATCCAGAGCTGTTTTAAGATGAAAGAGAAGACTGGCATTTGTCTCCTCATCTCTCAAAAGAGGCTTTGGGGTGGACAATTTCTAAAGTCCTTTCTCATTCCAACTGTCCAACTCAGACTTGGCGATTTCATGATAAACCTACTTCCATTTGCAGAGTTCAGTTCATTAACTGTTCAAATAGAAGAGTGACACTTTCTGTACCCATCTGAGATCATCGCATGAGAGAACAGATTTGAAATTGTTGAAAGCACAGTATAAATCTAGGGGGCTATTATCTGCACCTTGTGAAAAGCCAAGATAAATGATCCTAAGTCTCATTCTCTCATTTTGGCCAATTCTTTAAAATTTGAAATCTTCACAATCTTCTAGGAAACCTGAAGGAGTTGAAATGAGTTGATCTGAACTTAACCTTTTTTTTCCCTCTCACTGAAGAAGAGTCATCATCTTAAATTAATTTCATCATGGGCTTTAAATAATCTAGAATGATTAAATTCTAAAACTAGACATTCTGAAATAGATCAAATGCCTCGAGGGCTGGTCTCAAATACCGGGGCAGTTGCATGGACAGTGTTGAGAAAGGGCCAATTCTTATTTCTACGCTGTAATTAAAAGGCTCATAGAATTCTTTTAAAAAGCTGTAAATCTCATTTCCTCGTAGCCAGGGCTGCCATGAGCCAGGGTGCTCCTCAGGAATGGGAAGACCACCCCGAGGCCCCCTCCTTTCTCTGGTTATCTACCAGTCACCTCCCGTAGGGGTCCTGGTATATCCAGGTTGGGAAGGCACAGACAGGATCCACGCAGAACTGTGTAGGGGCCCAGAGGAGGCAGGCCCTGCACTTTTCTCCAGTGTAAAAACACTGAACTGATGGTCTAGTTTATGTTCTTAATAGCTGAGGTCGTGTATATATTCTCTTCACTTGTTTTCTTATCCTTAAAATGAGATTAACTTGGGTGATATTAAGTTCTCTTCTAAGCTTAAAAAAAAAAAAAAAACCCTCTTAGGGGGCACCTGGGTGGCTCAGTGGGTTAAGATCCAATTGTTGATTTTGGCTCAGGTCACGATCCCACAGTTTGTGGGTTTGAGCCCCACATGGAGCTCTGTG